TCAGCCCAGAGCCTGACGCGGGGCTTGAACTCACGGACCACGAGATCGTGACCTGACTGAAGTCGGATGCTTAACCGACTGCGCCACCCAGGCGCCCAATTGTGTATATTTTATATCTTACGTATTATATATACATAAAAACACGTATATATAATATATAACAAAGTTTACTGCTTTAACCACTTTTAAATGTACAACTCGGTGGCATTAAGGACATTCACTTTGTTGTGCAAAAACCATCACTACCATCCATCCATCCATCCTTCCATAACTTTTTTCCTCCTGCAAAATTGAAACTGTACCTATTAACCAATAACTGTCCACTTTCCTCGAAGAAAACAACTTTTCTTATTGAATAAGCATTAAACTAGAAGTTAGGAACATCCCAGGCAATCCACTAAGAGATTCCAAAAACAGATAGGAATCTCACCCTTGCATATTGCTGGGCAGATAGGACCCATTACATACTCCTTCTTAAGATAAACACTAATTAATCCTCAAGAGGATTTATGGCATATCTATCCCACTAGTCCACTCTAAATTCACCTGGTAATTGGGGTGGCCACTCGTGTTTGCTAACTATCTTTATCAAAAGAAAAATAGGGGCACCCGGGTGGCTCAGTTCGCTGAGTGTCTGACTTCGGCTCAGGTCATGATCTCACAGTTCATGAGTTGGAGCCCCATATCGAGCTCTCTGCTGTCAGCACAGAGCCGGCTTCAGAGCCTCTGTCCCCTTCTCTCTGCCCTCCCCCGCTGACACTCTCTCAAAAATGAATAAACATTTTAAAAAAAAAGTAAAAATAAACATATATATTCACAACAGGAGGTAATTTTGTAATTTGGAGCCAGGTGCCTGCCATTTGGCTCCTACCCTCCTGGGGAAACTGGGAGTGAAGGGCACTACCTTCCTTCATGATCACATGTCAGACAGAAAGCTCCCAGGTCCTTTAGAAACACATTCTTGAGGCTAGCTGAACTTTTAAAAAGATTGACACGCACCTCAAAGGGGCAGAGAAAGAATTCACAATTACAAGTTTTCCGAAGTAAATACCCTGTGAAAGGGTGGGAGGGTCTTTCTCCTTCCCCAATTTTTTGCATCAGAGAGAATTAAATGTTTTTCTTATTTTTGCTGTATTTACTCTTCCGTGCCTTCCAAATTCCGCAGCCCGAGTTGGTGATGGGGCAGATGGGGTCTGTGCACAGTGCTGGGGAGAGGCCCCAGGCACTCTAGGCACGTGGGGCCAGGGCTTTAAGGAGCCTCTCCAGGATACAGTAGACCCCTGCTGGAGGGTCATCTTGGGTGGCTGGGAGAGCTTTGGTGGAAGGCGTGGGGAGCCACAATTCTGGCCACAGCATTTGGTACAACCTCCAGCTCCTTTCTCAGGGCAAGCTCATGAGGAAACAGAGGTGGCGCTATTTCCATAGCAAGTGGAATCTTCTGGAGCTGACCATCATCCTGGCCAGCTGGAGCGCCCTGGCGATGTTTGTGAAGAGGGCTGTCCTGGCAGAACGTGACATCCAGCACTACCGGAACCATGGGAAGGAGTAAGTGGCTCAGCCTCAGCTCCCAACTCCCACACTAGATCTGCTTCCTCCAGCTCTGTGGCCCCAGGGTCAGAGGGAGGCTTTTGAACAAAATTTTTTTTAACATTTATTTATTTTTGAGAGACAGAGAGAGACAGACCATGAGTGGGGGAGGGGCAGAGAGAGAGGGAGACATAGAATCCAAAGTGGGCTCCGGGCTCCCAGCCGTCAGGACAGAGCCCCACACGGGTTGAACTGACCTGAGCCAAAGTTGGATGCTCAACAGACTGAGCCACCCAGGCGCCCCCAGAGGAAGGCTTTTGAAATCCTGTTGATCCTCAGAGGATCACGGGTCACTCTTTAAAAAGTAACTAAAGCTACCACTTAAATTCAGGTTTAGGGCCTGAAGCATACACAGTTGGAGAGGGCTCTTTTATGACAAAATGGAACAAAGCTTACTTTTGCAAATCCTACCAAAACAAAAGACCTTGTGACACCGTGGTAAGGTCCCTGCCCAAAAGCTGTAGCAGAAGGCCAGTCAACCTACATCTGCTACAAAGTGTCCTACATCATTTACAACCTACATCATTTACAAAGGGTCCACTCTATTAGGCAGGATGTACTAACCCACCAGATCCTCATAAGAACCCAAGGTAGTAGATGTTATTATTACCCAAAAGTAGGTTCGCCTCTTGGGAACCATCCAGCCAAAATACATGACCAAACCAAAGAATAGGAAAAGAAGCATTTTACTTGCAATAAAGGAGAACATCAAGGATCTTTCCCAAAGTGGTCTCTCCAAATAACAAAAATGGGGAAGTTTTAAGGGAAGGGTGAATACATATTCTTGAAGGGGCTACGCAATGGAGAATACAGTGTGGAATTGGGGCAGAAGTCATCTTAGTGTAACTGAGTCCAAGTCAAAGTCACTAGGACTGGCAAAGGTCAGCATTGTCAATTCTCTGGCTTTAGTTGGTCTGGTATCTGAGTACTCAAGGGGGTTTAGATCCTGCAAAGATAACTCAAGAAATGTGCGCCAGGTCAGTCTTCACTTTATCATTGTTGATTGTCCTTCATAGGATCAGATTACCTCCTGGCCTGATAATGGCTGTTTTGTCCGTACATTCCTTCACAAGATGGCAGAGGGCCTGAAATGACTTCTGAGGTCAGGAAAGCTATGCCTGGGGCCAGCTGGGTGGCTCAATCAGTTAAGCATCTGACTCTGATCTCAGTTCAGGTCTTGATCTCAGTCAGGGTTGTGAGTTCAAGCCCTACATTTAAAGGTGGCAGAGAAGTAATAAGTAATTTAAACCTACCTTGTGTGAGAGGTTCAGTCACTAAAGCACACAACTCTTGACTTTGGGGTTGTAAATTCAAGCTTCATTTTGGGTACAGAGATTACATAAAAATAAAATCTTTGGGCTCCATGCATGCCCAGTGCTGAGCCTGCTTAAGATTCTCTCTCTGGTCCTCCCCTGCTAGCTCTCTCTAAAAAAGTTTTAAATAAATAACTGTTTTAAAATCTTGAAGGGGTGCCTGGCTGGCTCATTTGGTAGAGCTTGCAACTCTTAATCTCAGGGTCATGAGTTTGAGCCCCACACGATGGATGTAGAGATTGCTTAAAAGTAAAGTCTTAAGGAAATATATTAAAAAGGAAACAACAACAACAAGAAACCTAGCTTGTAAGTCTCTAGGATCCCAATCCTTACATCAAACCACTGTGTTTCTTGACTCAGTGATTTTATTGATATAGCTAACATTTATTTATTGTTGGATGCCATATACTGTTATAAAAACAGCACTTCAAAAGAATTATCCCATCTACTTTAATCTTCCTAAAACTTCTAAAAGATAATACTATCAACATCCCTTTTTTACAGATAAGGAAACTGAGGCTCAGAAAGGATGTCTGTGCAAGGTCACAGAATTTGGAAACGGAAATGCAGGGCCTATAAGAACTCTGCATTCCTAACCTCCACCCTAGATGGTCTCATTCAACTCACAAGCCCTCACTGAGCTCTTCCCTGTACCACGCCCATGGCGCCAGCCAAGTCAGGACAAAAGTTTCACCCTCTCTCCAGGCACCCTTCCACAGAAAGGTCTCCATATCAGTTGAGTTCTTTGAGTTCAGAAATTATCAGGAGTGCTTTTATTTTTTACTTAAGCTGGTTGTAAATCTTATGCAGAACGGCATTTCTAAAACTTAAAGGTGTTTGAACTCTTGAAGGGATCTGCAAAAGATGACCTGGGGTCCAAATCCAGCCCGCCACCTGTTTTTGTAAATTAAGTTTTAATGGAACACTGCATCATCACCTGTTCCTTACATACTGTCCATGGCTGCTTTCCTGATAACAACTGTCAACGGAGTTACTGGGACAGAAACTATCTGGCCCACAGAACTTCAAATACATACCATCTGACCCTTTGCAGAAAAACTCCTGCTTAGAGAACAAAGCCTGAGTTCTAGGAAGAAACAGTGGTGAGTTTTAGGTTATACATGATTAAGACCATTAACAGCCAGTGTGATTTGTAAATCATCACTGTCCCCCTACATTAACCACGCTTTATAATTCCTCACCATGACCTAAAACATATTTGGTTCTCAATATCCACATAGACAGGGTTTTACTCAGATGGGTTATAAAACAATCTTATAGTAAGAGAGTTCTCTTCACACTGAGTGTCAGAAAATATAAATCTGCCACTTTTGACAAAAACCAGAGTAAAATGTGGAATTACATGAAACCCTCAGTTGCATTTGGTTAATCAATTAACCAAAGTTTTGTGTTAATTTCAGAAACTTGTAAGCTTCGTTTGCTTGTTGGAATAGATAAGTCATTCTATAAACAGATCCTGAATTTTCAAAGTATTTTTTAAGACCAAGTGATTTGCTTCATAGTCTCCTTTCAACTCAGTGCTTCCCAGGCCTGGCTCCTCAGCAGAACTGCCCAGGGAGATGATCAAACCCTGATGCCCAGGCCACATCCCAGACCTACTAGGTCAGTGCTGGGGACAAGCCCCGCTCTAGTATTTTCATTGTCTCCCTGGTTATTCTAACGTGCAGCCAAGGCTGAGAACCATGCTTTCATTAGAGCTGTCATCACAAAAGAGGGCTTACGTAGTTACTTTTCCACTCATATGAGCAATTAAATGGCGCAAAAGAGGGTTAGGTGTTTTAAGAGAGACAGGAAAAAGATGCTGCGGGAACCAAAGGAGGAAGCTGCCATCCATACCAGCGGCCCCATATGCTCAAAGGGAAGGAAGATTCTGGAGGGCAGGAGATTAGGGAAAAGGACAGCTTTCACTCAGGCGTTATATATGTATATTAAATGCATTTAAAACCTGAGATCATATAATTTTGTTCTTTAACCTGTGCTCCATCCATGTCACTGGATAACGGCCTACACCATTTGAACAACACACCAATATTAAGACTGAATTCAAAGCACAAAGGCACGGAGGGGAATTAAGGGCAGGGTGGGATGGCGGGAAGAACCAGACTTTGGAGTCAGGCCTGGATCCCAACTCTTTTTCTTCCACCACGAGTTGTATCGCTATGTCACTAGCTGGGTGACCTGGTGCCAACTCTTCCTCGTCCTCATCCATGAAACAAAGGCATAAACACTTGCCTCAGCCAGTGGTCTCGAAGGCCAAACACAGCTGAGGTTCATCAGGCCCTCAGCACAGAAACTGAATGATACTTCCATCCTTCCTTCAAATGTAAGGGTAATGTGGACATACACTCAGACAAATGTGAGGGAGGAAGTGGCATCTAGTAACCCCAGACCAGGAGGGGAGGCTCACAGAACTCCCTCAGTTCCATCTTCTTGACCCTGGGAGGATTCTTCCTTTGCCATTCTTCCATAGTTCTGCAGCCATTAGCCAAAACTGGTAGGTAATGGTCCCATGACCCCCATCACTACCACATCACTACCATCATCACCATTACCCTCACCACCACCACCAACATGCTACCACATCACCTCCATCATCATCGTCGTTGTCATCCCTATCATAACCATCATCCCCACCACGATCACCGTCACCCTCACCACCACCATCATCGTCCCTACCACATCGCCTCCATCACCATCATTGTCGTCATCCCTATCATAACCATCATCCCCACCACCATCACCGTCTCTACTCTCATCTCCATCACTGTCATCCCCATATCATCATTACATAGCTGGGGAACTGGACTAGCCTTATATCTCCCAGATCTGTTGTGGGAAGTGATGGGCTCTGAGATCATGATAAATCTAATCCTGCATCCTGGGCTGAGGATCCAGCATCGTGACAGCCCAGAAGAGCTCTGGCTGAGCTTCTCACAGTCTCTGAGACTCACCCTCCCTTTTGGTCCTACAGGGGGATCAGTTTCAGTGAGACAGCAGCAGCTGATGCTGCCCTTGGCTACATCATTGCCTTCCTGGTACTGCTGTCCACAGTGAAGCTTTGGCATCTGCTCAGGTTGAACCCCAAAATGAACATGATCACATCTGCCCTGCGCCGTGCTTGGGGGGACATTTCAGGATTTATCATCGTCATCCTTATCATGCTTCTGGCTTACTCCATTGCAGTGAGTGGTTCTTTTGCTAAAACCTTCGGGGCTGGTCTCCTTGGAAGCAAAGGCTTCTCAATGGTGGTGGTCGTTGGGGGGAGGTGGGGAGGGGCACATGCACTGAGGGTTAGCGTTAACACTTTGGAACCTGGGGGAGATGGTGGATATTCTGAGTCCAGGGCTTTGCAGCTGGGGGCTCATAAACCGGCCACCCCAAATGGCAAGGGTGGAGACATCGGCTGGATAAGAGTAAGGAGGTATAGTCTCTAAGACCAAGAGGGCCAACTACCTCCAATAAAGGATTCCTTTCTGTACCTGGACCCTGCCTGGAAATGCCACTTCTCCTGACACTCCACATGCTCAGACACGGATAGAGCATTCGCTCTGTGCTCGGGGGGTGGAGGGGGGTGCTGGAGATGAATTGGGCAGAGATTAGCCTACATATGGGTAGGCTATGTCACTGCTTGGTGCCCTACATGAGGCATGAACTTAACAGGGCCAAAAATCATTTCATTCAGCCCCTTGACACTGAGAACATTTTGGCAGTCACGTCTCTTTTGCGAATGAAAAAAAAAATACTGCCAACTCTTTTATTACCAATTATGTGGGAAACAAAGACCCTCTGCCACATCTTGCTCTCCATCTAAATATAACCCCCATCGCCTCCAAGTCCACGTTCCCCATAATACCACAGCTCTCACTCCTCCGTGCCCCTTTACCCAATCCTGACCCACTCTCCACCCCAGCCCCTCTCCCAGTTCTTGCCTTGGCCCCATCCAGTCTTACCTTCCACCATCCCTGAGCTGCACACCACACAGTGGTCTCTCGTATCCTAGTTACCACTCTCTCTCTAGCCCTCTCCCCATTCCTTAGCCATCCTTTTCCTGTCCCTATCACCTCTACCCTGACTCCCCACTACCTAACTACTGCCTCTCCCTCTCCCACCCTTAGAAATGGGGTAAGGAGCACTGATGGAGATGGGGGGAGTTTGGTTTTATCACAAGTACTTCACTGGACCCCTTAATTCACATGGATTTATTCAGTCCTCCATCTGCAGTATAGGAGCTACAGGGACACTGGCCGTGTCCGGAGATGAGAAGTCACCAGTTCAGAGCAAAGGGAGTGCTGGGCCTCCCTTGACATAAGAGCGGCAATCTTTGGAGGGAAGCGTGCTGTGGTGAGGAGGAAGTATAGGAGACGCCCTGCCCAGGCAGAAGCCTGTTGTCATCCAACCCAACTCCCCCAAAGCAAAGAGGCTGGGGCCTCAGAGAGCCCAGTTTCATCACTGAGTCACCTGAGTGAACTGCAGCCATCTGAGTGAACACAGTAGTGGCCTAGTGGGTGGTGCTGAGCCCCAGAAGGGGATACGCATTCCTTACAGAACTGGGTAGGTACACACACACTCACTTGCAAGCCCCCATAGGTACGGTTTTGCGGGGCCAAGGATAAGGCTGACCCAGAACAGAGACTCTGTCAAACAACAGGCTTTGGGGGTGGGGGCTGAGAGGTCACTTGGTTTCTTTTCCTGTTTGTGAGGACTCTTTCCATTACAGTCAAACTTAATATTTGGTTGGAAACTCCGTTCCTACAAAACCCTCTTCGATGCAGCAGAAACAATGATCAGCCTCCAGCTAGGAATCTTTAACTACGAGGAGGTAATGGGGTGGGGTCGGGGGAACATGGACACGGCCATCTACACCAAGCCTTTATGAAAATGAGAAAAAGCACCCTCCTCAAATGTCTCTCCCTGAATGGATGCACCCCTTGGGTCCACGGCCTGGCAAGCACAAGGCAACTTTGGACAAATAAACAGTCCCCTTCCTCTAGGCAGACAGCCCCATACTAGGGCCCATAGTTTGCCCTGGGAACCCCTGCTTACAGGAGAACACCATGCACTGAGTACTTAGGAGAGGACTGGGCTGGGAGGTCTCTAGAAGGGAATGCTCCCAGCCCTAGCCAGAAATGGTGCCTTATATTTGGAAATGGCGGCAGTAGGGAGTAGGGGGTGCTATCTTTTTCTTTTCCTGGCAGCTTGTTCTGTTTTGTTCTGTTTACTTAGAGAGAGAGAGAGACAGAGAGAGAGAGAAAGAGAGAGAGCAGGGGAGGGGCAGAGAAAGGGAGAGGGAGAGGGAGAGAATCGAGACTCTGCACTGTCAGTGCAGAGCCAGGTTCAGGGCTCAAACTCACGAACTGTGAGATCATGAGCCAAAGTCAGCTGCTTAACCAACTGAGCCATCCGGGCACCCCGTCTCTTGGCAGCTCTTGAGAGCAATGCCCGTGCTCTCAGCTGCCAGACAAGTGGGATCCTTCCTGGTTCCAGGCTCTGCCTAGTCTGAGAACCAGTTTTCCCTCTGAGGATGGCTATGGGGAAGTGGCTACCAGGACACAGGACTTCTGGGGGTGACTCTTGGCTTTCTTCCTGACAGGTCCTGGACTACAGCCCAATGCTTGGCTCCTTCCTGATTGGGTCCTGCATCATTTTCATGACATTTGTGGTGCTGAATCTATTCATCTCTGTCATCCTGGTGGCCTTCAATGAGGAGCAAAAATATGATCAGGTGAGTCCCTTTGGCTTATTCTTCAACAGTCATTGACCCTGAAGTAGGAAGTGACTGAGCAGCACTAGACATTAGGGGGACGTGAGAGACCTCTGTAGCTCAAAGCCCTCATTTCATGGGAGGGGAAATAGGTCCAGAAGGAGGAAATACCTTCCTCAAGAATACAAACAAATGAAAGGCAGACTAGAATCGGGTCTCCTGATTCCCAAGGTGGCACTTGGTTCATGACCCCAGCGATGCTCAGCCCTGAGTGTACATTAGAATCACGTGGGGGCTTTTGGGATGCCTGCTGCTGCATTGAGACCAATATACACAGAATCCTTGGGTGAATGAGCCAAGCACGTGTATTTCTGAAATCTTCTCAGGTGATTTTAGTATACAGCCAAGGCTGAAACCTTTTAAAAAGTTATTAAGGCAGACAAGTTATGTGATACAAACCTTAACACTCCATGAAGAGGACAGTCTCTATTCAGAGAAGTACAAATGGGGTGGAAGGCAGGAAGCTTTTATAGGATAAAAGAATAAAGAACAAGGAAGAGAAAAATGAAAATATATCTGACTGACTGGGGCCACACAGTCAATCTTGTTTGTGGCGAGATGGAAAAGAAAAGAAGTATAGGGCTCAGAGGTGGCTTGGTGTTTGGAGGTTGGCTAACCTGATACACTGCATTCTGATAAAGGGAAGCATTTACAGGGACACAAAAGTTCTCTAAGCTTCAGTCTGCTGACACGGCACCCCAGGCTGGAGCAGCTCCGTCTTGGGCCCAGAAATTTGTTTCAACAAGTCATATGGTAACAAGTTTAAATTTTGAGAAGACGGCAAGCTATTTCCCAAAGCAGATGCACCAATTCACGTTCCCAGCAGCAACGCATGAGGGTCTTTGTACATACATTCCTAACAGCCCCTGTTGGGGGTGGTAGAGGGAATACTGTCATTCTCATCCCAGGGGAAGAAGAAACATCAGGGTAACGGTGGGAGCACACACCCCTGGGACTCCCAGAAGAAGGGGAATCCCAACAGAAAACTGACTCTACACAGTGCAGTGACTTTGGCAGAGACCAAGTTGAACAATAAAACCATGGTTTCCCCTTAGGAAGGAAGAAACCCCCCAAAGAGAATGGTTCTATGTATGTCGTATGGTTCTTTTTCCCTCTACAGCTGTCGGAGGAAGGTGAGATTGCCGATTTGTTGCTGGCGAAAATACTCGGTTTCCTGGGCATTAAATGTAAAAGAGAGGACCCTGGAAGTGGCAGGAAACAGCCCGAGTTGCTGTCAGAGGTCCGGCCTCCCTGTACCTGTGTCAGCTGCACCCAAGCTCTAAGCTCTTCATCCACACACGAACATCTATAGAGGCGGAAGGCCAGAGCCTTGGGCCTATGCTTCCCAGTGATTCTACAGTCTCTCCAGGCCAATGTTTTTCTGTGTCCACAGAAAAGTCACCAAGCCTGGCAAGTAAAAAAAATAAGAAAAATATACGCTTAAGTACATTCAATTGCCACTATTGTCATAGACTGTTCAAATGTATTTCCTCCTAGAAATAAAACAAATACTGTCTGGAGTTTGGGGAAAAAAATGATCTCTACGGACTATTTCATCTTCTTGGTTGGTCGGGGATTGCTTCTGAATGATTGTATTTCAGGGTTTCTCAAATTGTGTCCAAGAGGTGTTAATGGCCATCGCTCTCCCTCTCTCTCTCTCTTCCTCTCGAGAGGAACACAGTAGCATAAACTGGGTAGCTTAAACCAATTGAAATTTATGGTCTCCATCCCAGAGGATAGAAGCCCCAAATCAAAGTGTCAATGGGGCCAGGCTCCCTCTAAAGACTCTGGAGAAGAGTCTTTTCTTCTAACTTCTAGTGTCCTTTGGTATTCCTTGGCTTGTAGATGGATCATTCTAATTTCTGCCTATGTTATCACATGGCCTTCTCCCTGTGTGTCTGTCCCTGTGTTTCTTTTCTTCTTCTTATAAGATCTCTAGTCCTACTTAGTTTTTGTTAATGTTCATTTATTTTTGAGAGAGAAAGAGAGTGTGAGTGGAGGAGGGACAGAGAGAAGGAGACACAGAATCTGAAGCAGGCTCCAGGCTCCTAGCTATCAGCACAGAGCCCGATGCAGGGCTGGAACTCTTGTACGGAGAAATCATGACCCGAGCCAAAGTCAGACACTTAACCTGCTGAGCCACTCAAGCACCCCTCTGGTCCAATGAATTAAGGGCCCATCCTACTCCATTATTACCCCATCTTAACTAATGACATCTGCAACACCCCTATTTCCAAATTTGATCACATTTTGATTAGCAGGGGTTAGGCCTTCAACATTATTTCTTTAGGGGACAAAATTCAACATAATAGGTGTCATTCCCCCAGAAATGTTTCTGAATCAAATAAATATGACAAACACTAGATTATAAATGTTACACAAGTTCTTTAGCATGGGAACTGTGAGAGTTTTTAACATGCTAAATATGCATTGTGAGTCTCATGGAATGAGGCGAGCACGCAAGCTAAAGTGTGCAATGATTCCCAAAACTTTTTGACCAAGGCATCCAGTTTTGAAGCACCCCAGTCAGGGCTAGTGTTCCTTAGGTGATACTTTGGGAACTGGTAATCTACATCAGTGGTTCTCAAGCCTGGCTGCATGCCCCAGACTTCATCCCAAACATCAGAATCTCAGAATCTTTGACCTAGGACCTAGGCATCAAAGTTGTTGTTGTTGTTGTTGTGGTTGTTGTGTTTTGTTTTTAAAGTAGGCTCCATGCCTAGTGTGGAGCCCAACACAGGGCTTTAACTCAAGACCCCAAGATTAAGATCTGAGCTGAGATTAAGAGTCAGATGCTTGGGGCACCTGGGTGGCTCAGTTGGCTAGTCTCTCAGTTTCTGAGTTCAAGCCCCGCGTTGGGCTCTGTGCTGACAGCTAGGAGCCTGCTTCAGGTTCTGGGTCTCCCTCTCTCTCTTCCTTTCCCCTATACTCTCACTCTGTCTCTCTCTCTCTCTCTCTCAAAAATAAATAAACAGTAAAAAAAAAAGAGTCAGATGCTTAACTGACTGAGCCACCCAGGTGCCCCCAGGCATCAATAATTTTAAAGCCTCCCCAGGTGATTCCAATGTGTAGTCAGACTTGCTAACCATGCCCTAAATTCTGAGAACCACGGATCTAGACAATAAAAGGTGTTTAGGTGTCTGTGTGGATAAGGGCACGTTTCCCCTCCCCCGTGCAGGGGAGTGCACCTCACATATCCTCTCTAGCTCACTCATCTCCCGCCCCCAACACACACACACACATACCTCCTCTAGGTTGCCTGACCCAAATCCATTCCATGCTTTCCTCTTTGCTATGAGAACCCAACTTTGATCACGTAGCCATATACTCCTTTCCCAGGAGACTCATGGGAAAGTGTCCCTGTAGCCACATCAATGTAAATCCTGATTTGGATACTAATCCATTTCCCTTGACAATGAGGGATTTGGGGTAGTCACACGACCCAGTTCCAGCCAATGAAAACTGAAGTCTCTAGGACACTTCCAGGAAAGGTCTACTTGCCAATAAAAAGAGACACAAAGAGACGGCATCTTATGCTGCTAGACATGGTCTGGCCTGAGCAACACTCCAGGAACTTGTGCAGCTACTCTGACACCATGGGGAACAATCCAAAGACAGCAGAGCAGAAAGATGAGAGGAACGTGAGGGCTTGATGACTGACTTCATCAACCCTGGAGCTGAACTACTGGCTTCTATCTGGATGAGAGCTTATCGCTTCTCAGCCTTTTGGCTAAGATCAAGTGTATCTGGATGAGAGCTTAAATGTCTTTTTAGGACAGTTGAATCAGGATCTTACCCTGAATATAAAAAAAGGATCGTTCACAAGGAGCCACATAACATGCAACATACACAAAACCTTGGGGATTTCATCATCTTCTATCCAACCGAAAGCCCATCATCCATTGTTTATTGTGTCATGCATGAACATGAGCTAAATGTACAGGGATGCTCATCAGACAACCCATAGCATGGTATACACACAGGCCCCAATACACTGGTACAGAAACCTACCCAGATACACAGTCTGTTTCATTTATTTACTTATCTATCTATCTATCTATCTGTTTTTAAAATGTTTATTTTTTTGGGGCGCCTGGGTGGCGCAGTCGGTTAAGCGTCCGACTTCAGCCAGGTCACGATCTCGCGGTCCGGGAGTTCGAGCCCCGCGTCGGGCTCTGGGCTGATGATGGCTCAGAGCCTGGAGCCTGTTTCCGATTCTGTGTCTCCCTCTCTCTCTGCCCCTCCCCCGTTCATGCTCTGTCTCTCTCTGTCCCAAAAATAAATAAACGTTGAAAAAAAAAATTTTTAAAAAAAATTAAATGTTTATTTTTTTAAAGAGAGAGAGGGAGAGAGAATCCCAAACAGGCTTTTGTCAGCACAGAGCTCGACATGGGGCTCAATTTCCTGAAATGGGAGACCATAACCTGAGCTAAAATGAAGAGTCAGATGCTTAACCGACTTAGCCATCCAGGCACTCCAGTCTATTTGTTTTAAATATGAAAAGCTCTAAGATCTGGTGGAGAAGGTGTAAGTTATTCATCTAGTCTCCACTCCTTTTCTGACTGTAAATATCAAACTGGCAACTCCTTCAACTGTATTGCTATGAGAGGAAAAAAAGCTTAAAGAGATGAGTGGACCCCTTCTGACACACTTGAGAGAAAAGATCACAGGCAATTCTCAGGTGGTTGTACCAAACGTGCAGTGGGATGACCTTTTAAATCTCAAGCTATGGATGTTACAATGATTATCAATTAGGAAAAAAAATAATTTGTGATTAGCCTCAATACTTATTAGATTTTAAAAAATGACACACTGCCTATTGTTTTGGTGGAAGGGCATGTGATACAGGTCACAGACTGACACGTGACCTTGTTCTTCCCACCAAATACATCAGTAGAGCTGGGAATAAATATTTTAGGGCATGGTTTGCATTGTGCTATATCGGCTTATAACAAAACAACAATAAAAACAGAATATTGATATGAGAAGCTAGCCAAGATCTGCAGTCTGGAGTAGACCACTGTGAGCCAGTCAGCATCCCAAAGGGAGGCAAGTGGCAGACCTTACAAGCAGTTGACCGTGAGCCCAACTAGAGGTCAAGTCCTGCTACTGCCACCTAGCAGCTGCTAAAGCTAGACATGCCTTCCCCATTCCACTCCCGGGCAAGCCAATTAACTTTTCTGAGCCTCCCATTCCTCATCTCTGCAACGAAAGCAATACGTATCAGAAAGGGGTTTGGAGAGGATTAAAAAGGTAATGTTTGCACAGTCCCAGGCATATAGCAAGGAAAAGGAAACTGGAGCATGACAGCCCTTGCAAGCACTGCACAGATGTGCTAACAATGCCCATTTTGTAAGTGGGGTGGAAGCTCAGTGCAACAACATGGAAGTCTCCCAAACATCCCTTCACACACTCACATACACACACGCTTTAAGGTGTGTATAATAAGGAATATGTGAAGATGACAATCGGTAATAATGATGTGGAGCTTGAGGTGTTTTTCACTCCACTGTTTCTTCACTGATTCCTGCCCACGCCATAAAATTTGTGTTGACGGTGAAGTCTTTCCCAGAACTTAATTATTTTCTGTCTCCTTGGATGGGGACAGGACTTCTGTTTTTCTGGAAAGGCTTTGGTCCCAGGGCTGGCTACTTAAGCAAGGAACTGACCATGCTGGGTTTCAACTTTGCCCTTTGATTGCTCCTCCATTAGCTAACTGGCTCCCATCCAGTCTCCACCAAGGAGACACTCCCGACCCTTGGACAAGTCTTTGCTTCTCTAGGAGCTTCTGTCTGTCCCCTGCATGGGGTACCCAGGCCTCTTGGGATCGGTAAAGTAATAAAGTGGGCTCCTGGATTGTTTCCAGTATTTCTCAAAGTCAAACAGAAACTATGTGTCAGAGCTACCTGGGCCAATACCCAACCACAGTCTCCTTTGAGAATGATTCTGTTTAGACCTGGCTATGAGTCCCGATCTGGGTGACCTTGATCCTCTGTAGAAGCACGGGAGCATACTTAACGGGAGTGGGGACACTCTATCTTTCCCAGGACCTCAGAGACCCAATGGCACGAGAATGCCCGCCCTGCGAAGCCACCTCTGCCGGAACCCTTCTCACTGCCCGGGCGGGTCCCCCAGGTTAGCAAAGCTGGAGCTGCTGACCTTGCACTTTCACTGCGGGGAAATTGACTCCCGGGAACTAGGCCCCGCCCGTTCCCCCCCAACCCCGCCAGCGACCCGCGGCGCCGCCCTGTAGGGCTCGGCCTGCTGCAGTAGGCCCCGCCCCTGACCCTCAGCCCCGACCGCAGGCCCTCCGCCCCTCTCTAGCGTCGCCCTATCCGAGGTCGCTCCCCGCCTGGAGTCCCCGCCCCCGCGCGCTGCCCTACCAGGCCCCGCCCCTCCACACCCGGGCCCCGCCCCCGCCCCTCAGACCAGCCGGCTCGCTCCGGCTCGCTCCAGTCCGGGGCGCCCCCCGCCCCGCCCCCTTCGGCCGGGGTTCCCGAGACGTTGCACCGCGACCCCGCACCTCTGCGAACATGGCGCTACGAGCGGTGCGGAGCATGCGGTCTGCGGCCTGCAGCCTGCGCGCCGCCTCCGCGCCCGCCGCGCCCTGCCTGCCGCGGCCCTGGGGGCTGAGGGCGGGCGCCGTCCGGACGTTGCGCACGGGCTCCGCTCTGCTGTCTGGTAAGCGCGGGCGGGCACGTGGGGTGAGCCCGGCCGCTTCGGGGGAATGGGCTGGGCGCCTCCGTCCCCTCGTCAATGCTTACCTCGACTGTCCTGTGCTGACCACCCGGGTCTAGCGACGCGACCACTCTGCCCACGCTTTCTACTGCTGGGATCTCCGGTTGCGTGGCCAATGCTGCCTCCCTAAGTGGCGTGGCCGACACCGCAGCCTTTGTCCTGCGGGCTGGGGAGCCAGGAGGAGGAAGCCTGGCACACACGCGCGACCGCTCGCTGCTGGAGAACCGGGCAAGCGTCGCTTGGCTCCTTCGCGACCTTAGGTTATCTTGCATATGTGTGTATCGTGGGCCCTGAAAGTGGAGACATAGTAGGCTTTAGTTTGCTATGTGGGCTATCACTGAGAACTCTGAAGTCAAATTAAAGCAGGAGCACTTAGTGAAATTAAAGCACGGGAGCTAGATTTTTACCAGCAAAAGCGAGCATATCTTTGAAGATTTGGCCATTTCCCAAAAACAGTGATACAGCCTTTTGGACTCATACATTCTGCTCAAGTCTACTGAATCGTGGATGTGTTGGGACAGAAATGAGGCCTCACACGGACTTGAAACTGAAATAACCAGGAGCCCTGCCCACAAATATCTTGGTCATCTCTGATACTTTACATTTTAGCGCAATTATCGCCGCAGAAAACGTTTTCTTACTGCGTGTGCAAATGCTTGAGACACTAACTGCACCTGCAAGAACTCAGGCTCCTTACTTTAGGGTGAATAGGTCTGTGATGGCTGTTGTCTCATTGACTGTTTCAGAAACCTGTTTGGAACTGGAAGAATTGATAACATTTATTTATTCCAGTCTGAAACATAAAGCTGCTACTCTCGTTGCTAATATATTCCTTTAGTTCTGTTGGTGACACATATCAATAATTACCGATTTGCATACAAGAGGAAAGCATATCTCAGATAAGAATTGAATTTAAAGTCTGTTTTTTTGGTTATTCACTGTTACATCTAGTTAAATATTGTCCAAAATATCAACACCCATGATCTGGTTGAACACCAAGGTTTTTAAAACCGAGACCCAAGTTCCAATTTTGATTCTACCTCTTATTAGCTATGTGATCTGGGGCAGTCACTTAACTTCTGAGTCTCTTATTAGAAAAGTGGAAATGATAATTCCTACCACACAAAGTTGTTGGGAGGCTGAAATGAAATGAAATGAAATGAAATGCAACCTCTCTGTACAAGTAGCCTGACAAATAGTAAGTCCTTGGTAAATGTTACTTGTTATGAAATATAGGATCAAATAATAAAAAATAATTGGCCAATATTAATATAGGTTATCTGGCTAGGGAATTAGAAGGGACTTTTTTTGGGGGGGGGGAGAGTCTCCATGCTCAATGTGTGGCTTGAACTCGTGACCCTGAGATCAAGAGTCATGCTCTACTGACTGAGTCAGCAAGGCACCCCACATAGTGACTTTGAAAGGAAGAAAATGCAAACACATAAATTACTGAAAACACCTCATTTTGAGGCCCAAAACGATGTTTTTAAATGCTCAGTAAGAAAGTAATTATTTACCTAATTTGTCCACTTTTTCCCTTTGGGGCCAAGGGTTAAAGGAGAATTAAACTAACTCTGGTCTTTAGCCTCAACAGCTTGGTCTACTAAAATGTCTTAGGGACTTTTAAGTTAAGTGGACGTTCATGCATAATGCTGCCTCTCCTCTAAACCTGGGGTCGCTCAATTGCTAAACTGAGTGAGGACAGCCTTACTCCTAAGATTATCTTTACAATTAGGCAAGATGGCAAGGCCCAAATCAAGACAGTTGTCTTAGAGAAGTCATATTTGTTGTCCAGCCCTTACTTTAAGGTGTATTTGGATTTGAACTGCTCATATTTGGTATTGTAATCAGCCAGTTCTACAGCTGTAACAGGGAGAAGTGAGTGTTGTACCCAAATACCTATGTAGATATTTTGTTCAAAATCTCCTTTACTTAATAAACTGAACTAAAAAGTTATTTTACTCCCTCAAGTTCTGAGTGCTGTTTGCCAAGCACGGTGTTTAGAACTGGGAATACAAGTGAAAGTGGGATAAACCATGCTTTGCTTGCTTTGTACTTAGACTCCTTCCTGGGGAGAAGTGACAAAGGGGCTGTATGCGTAGCTCCTCAGGTGCTCTGTGCTTGTATGGTCAGGACTCAGGGAGACTGGTGCAGTGTTGTGGGAGTAAGCTGGATGGCCCCAGAATCCAAGCTTGGAGGGCTAGAGAGGCTTCTGGCAGGAAAGAGGTTCTAAACTTGAAGTCCAGAAAAAGCCGGGCCGGGAGAGAGTGGCAGTCAGAGCACCAAGTATGAACTTTTACATGGAGAGATCAGATTGACCTGAAGCAGTTAACTACTTGAAGTGGAATGAAGCAAAGCAAGTTCTTTTGTGACAGATTCCGACTTCTTCCAGTGAAGAATACGAAATTGAAGTTTTTTAATGATTAGGGGAAAAAGAAAGGAGTAGTTGCATTGTGCTGCATATCAGAGCTGTGAAATCAAAGCAATTTAAGTACAACTATCTTTTGGGTAAGGGGGAAGAGTGAACCAGCAAGGCTTACTCTAAAACAGGATTTGAGGTAGTGAACCATTTTCCCATCAACTTCTGATGCATTATTTTTGGAAAAATGCTTGGCCTCAGAATATGATATATATATTTAAGAAGACAGCATATGCTTTAAACAATTTTTGTTTCTTTAAATGACAGTAGCCACTTTCAAGGACAAGGTTATTTCAATTAAAATGAAATCTTAAGAACTTAGTCAAGTTATATAATTTGATCCAAGTCGTTTTCATGCCTGTAAGATTCCACCTTATAACCAAGTTGCAGTGAAGTCCTCTTAGGTCAACTCTACCCAAAGAGGCTTTTTTTTTTTTTTTTTTTTTTTAGGTTAAGTCATTTATGAGCATTTATAAGTATTATAAGCATTTATGTTCCCTCACCCACATCCGTCTATAGAGGAACAGACTACATTCTGTAACACAGATCACTAATAGATAAGTATACTTTGAAATGTGCCCCAAAATCGTTTATATGTGTGATTTAGACTAATGTCGGAATAATCAAATCTCCAAAAGATGCACCAGGTGTTCACATCGAGCCACCTTCGTCTAAATGATCCTATTGTTGAGAAGATGTTCTGTCTTCACAAGATCTGGTTTTTCCTGGGCAGTGTACTGAAAGGCAGGGTCAGTAAGTCAAACACAAATACTGGGAAAGTCTTGCCTTTCGACAGCATTGATACGAAAAGTGCTTTTTAACAAGTGGTGCCACTGCTTTTCTGAAATACTGGTCTTCTGTTTTAGTGCGTAAATTCACAGACAAACATGAATGGATAACAACAGAAAATGGTATTGGAACAGTGGGAATCAGCAATTTTGCACAGGTACTGGATTGTCTTGAAATACTTAAAACAGTCTGCGCTTGCCTAATTTGGATTGTCTCTACCTTTTAAAAATTGTTTATTCTGCCCCTTAGTATTTTGAGTTCTTTCAAGAACATCAATCATAGGTGAAGCAAGTAAAAATGTAATTTAGTTAGGGCAGTATATAGTGTCTTAAGAGATTATTGAAAGGTTAACACTTAAAGGTAAACATACCTTATTCAGGAAAGAGATGTTTGTTCCACTTGGGGTAGTTAAGGAGAGAGTAAGAGCAAGTAAAGGGCTAGAGTGTTGACAGTGTTTTGTAGATCCTGTGGAGCATCTGTGATCCATGATCCATGTGAATACACGCTCCAGAAGGAAAACCTAAATTGGCACAGATTGGACCAAGGCGGAACCCTTTATTTAGCCAATCTTTTTCTCTTAATCCCCCACTGATCCCTTATTGAGAAATTATGCAGAAGAAAATGAGAAGGCAAGTAACAGTATGAGTCCATGATTTTTCCACTGGGTCTGTGTGTAGGGTGGGGCTGAGAGGGGAAAGGGGGCACTGAGAATCAGTGGCAACTGTATCTTCACTGGCATTTCTGTGTACCTACTGAGGCCCGTACAGCAGCGTGCTGTGTACAATACTGTACAAGTGTCGTCTTCCCCTCCTGGAGTTTATGAGGGGAATCTCCTACATGGAAGACAACGTACAAAGCATCACAAGATGGATGGCATGAATAGTACAGGGTTGTAACTCACTGACCTGATGGGGAGCTCACTTCTTAACAGAGTCAAGGTCTTCATGGAGTACAAGGCTTGAGGACTATGATTTGCAGATCAGGAGGTAGGATTTCAGCAAATACGGGAGGGGAGATGGCCTAAGCAAAACTGCAAAGGTGAAAAAGCACAAGGTGTGTTTCTTCTCCGAGGAGCTCTAGTACATGGGGGGGTGGAGGTTGTGACCGGAGTCGCTGCTGCCTGTGGGCCAGTCTAACTGGTGGCCTGTTTTTTTTGCAGGTCCTGAGCTAAAAATAGTTCTGCATTTTTAAAGTTGTGAGAAAAACCAAAGAATGCGGCCCCTCAAGTGTAAAATATGCCCTATCTGAATGATAGAGTATTGGTGTTTGGCTTGTTTCTATTCACTAGGAGGTTTAATTTGATTTCTTAAAGGTTATTGTTTTGTTTGTTTTAGGAAGCTTTGGGAGATGTTGTTTACTGTAGTCTGCCTGAAGTTGGGACAAAATTGAACAAGCAAGGTATTTTTCTCATCTTGGTATATGATTCATGCCTTAAGTTTTCTTTACCTTGAATAATAACTTGTTTGCACCTAGGGTCAGTTAGAGTGCTTTTTACTCAAGTAACAGAAAACTCATCTAAAAGTAGATTTAACAGTTGAGGTTTATTATATCTCCTTCAAGAGGTCTGGAGATAGATGGATACAGGATTGGCTTATTGGCACAGTGAAGGGTCATCAAGGACATGACTACTTTTCCTACTGTTTCTGCCTCTTTGTGTCAGAGGTCACAAAATGGCAGCAAAATCTTCAAGCATCGCTTTCTTAAATGGCCAGATCCAAAAGTAGGATGAGAAGGT